ACATATGTAAAAATCAAATATAATGGACTACAAAAAAAAGGTCAAAAAAATCGCTTAAAATGGACCGGAGGGAAGAACTTAGTATCACTGGCTGCCATTAGCGTACAAATTAACCTTAGAAAAATGCTGTGTTTGTTGGAGTTTGGTACTGCAGGAAACTTTGAATAAGTTATTTTATTTCTCTTTAAAATAAAATAATAAAAAAAACAGAATTAAGTAAATAAAAGTTGACAATTGGGCACACTCTTCTGGTTCCTACTACTATAAATATGTGAGCATATTTCACTTTAAGAAGTACTTAGCCAGAAATTGGGACAAATATCTTCTTCAATTCTCCCATTTTACTGCTAATTCTTCCTTATTTTTATCTCATTGAAGTCATGGCTAAGATATCATTTTTACTACTAATTCTAATCCCTTTTCTTTTTGGAATGAGCTCTGCTCAATTGACTGCCAATTTCTACTCTTCAACTTGCCCTAATGTCCTCTCTGTCATCAAAACTGCTGTGAATTCTGCTATCTCTAAAGAGTCTCGCATGGGGGCTTCTTTGCTTCGTCTTCATTTCCATGATTGTTTCGTTAATGCAAGTTTATTACCTTTGCCTCGTTTCATTCTTTTTATCTGGCGTAGTTTTACTCAGTACATACTTTTGAAAAAACACACACACACACACACACACACACACACACACATATATATATATATATATATATATATATATATATATATATATATATATATATATATGACTACAAAACGTTTAAAAGTACTTGTTATTATAACTTTTCTCATTTATGAGTAGTAGTACTATTCATGCATGCATGCATGTGGCTTGAGCAAATAAAATGTAGCTTCGAGCCAATCATATATATTCTTAAACAACTTATTTAATGACAAATAAACATGTGATAAACATGGACAGATTTACAGCCCAAAATATATGGGGTATTTTTCCGTCAAATTAAGTATTTTATGTACATAATTGATCTAATATTATTTGTTGGCCCTCTTGTTCTAAAAAAGTTGAATGTTGAGTTATTTACCTAGAGGAACATGAATCGATATGAGTACTTTTTTCCCCTCCTACGTTTAATGATGTACTTACAGGGGCGGAGCTAGCATATAGGAATTCCGAGTTTGGCCGAACTCAGTAACTTTGGTCTAAACCATGTATTTGTCTTAAAAAATTCATTAAATATGTATAAATTGTTAATTTAGAACTCAGTAACATAAACGAACTAGAATCCCGAATTCACAAACTTAAAATTCTAGCTCCGCCTATGTGCAATCATATTCAAGAAATTCTTGATTCGCCTTTACGTGACATGTTTACATATTTGAATCAGGGTTGTGATGCATCTGTGCTATTAGATGATACGTCAAGTTTCACAGGAGAGAAGACTGCTAATCCAAACAATGGATCATTAAGAGGATTTGATGTGATTGATACTATCAAAACTCAAGTGGAGTCAACATGTGCTGGAGTTGTATCTTGTGCAGATATTTTGGCTGTTGCAGCTAGAGATTCTGTTGTTAAAGTAAGCCAAAAAATACATATACTAAAAATATTCTATGAACTTAGTTTTTAATTTTTAATTAAATTAATTTTTTTTTTTTGTAGGCACGTTGCCTTAAGTACTCCTAACGGACCCCCCTTGTAGTTGATGGATATTTAACTAAATAATTGTTGTTTAGGGAAAAGAAAAGAAAGCACGTTGACCTTAAAAGCCAAGCACAAGTCAAAGTTTGGATAACCTCCCGTTTGACCATAGATTTTAACTTTATTTTTTTACATTTTTAAAAAACAATGTTTGTGTATGAAATATGATCATATTTTGGAAAAGAAAATTTAAAAATTTTCATGTTCCCAAAAATTAGTTTAAGGCAGTTATTGGGTGAAAATTTTATCTTCCGCTAGTAAAACTTCAATTTTTCTTCAAATAAAATGCATGTCCACACACAACTTCAACTTTCAAAAATTATTTTTCAAAACAACTTTAAAAACTCTGTCAAGTTCAATCAAATCTATGTCCAAACGCTAGCTAGGTACTGCATATTTCCTCCGTTTCATATTAGATGAGGTACTTTCCTTTTTAGTCTGTTCCAAAACAAATGACACATTTCTAAATTTGGAAATAATTCAAACTTTAAACTCTTCATTTTACCCATTTACCCTTAATGAGAAGCTTATATAGCCAAACAAATAGCATGGCCCCACAAACCTTTTACCCCTTAAGCTTTTAAGACCACAAGTTTCAAAAGCCTTCTTCTTTCTTCTTAAACTCGGTGCCGAGTCAAACTACCTCATCTAATATGAAACAGAGGGAGTATTATTCTTAGTGTTAATTAGATGGAAAGTACAATCTAGATACATAAGCTTTGATAAATAACCAGTCGAATTCACTATTTACTTTTGTTAGTTGGTATACATAGATTAAATACGATTATATACATATTATATTCATTTAGATTAAGCGGTTGGGTGGACGATTATTTGGATTAATTCGTCATAAACTAATTAGCGTGGACTTGAATGATTTGTCAGCTTGGTGGCCCTAGTTGGAATGTTTTACTCGGCAGAAGAGACTCAACAAGTGCGAGTTTGAGTGCAGCAAACAACGACATTCCTGCACCAACTTTGAACCTAAGCGGCCTCATTTCTTCCTTCTCTAACAAAGGTTTTAACGCGAGGGAAATGGTGGCACTCTCAGGTTTATTTTTACTTCCACAAATTAATTTGTTTAACTTTTCCTACATATATATATATATTAGATATTTCTATGAATGGTTTATTCACAGCTTTTCATACATAATTATTGTGATTGTTAGCGATGGTTTAACATTATCATTGCAATGACGGAGCCGGAATTTTTATTAAGAGGAGTCAAAATATAAATAATAATGAAGTATACGAAAAAGTAAAGTGGATTCAATATATATACATTAAAATTATAACAAAGTATACGAAGAAGATCAAAGGATGTGGTGCAGTGGATGGGACTGCTCCTCCCTTAACCAGAGGTCTCGAGTTCGAGCCCTGGGTATGGAAAAATCCTTGGTAGGGAGCGCTTCCCCCCGAAAGGGGCCCTACGCGGCGCGAATCCGGATATAGTCGGGCTCCAATGCTGGTACCGGACACCGGATGGGAAACCAAAAAAAAAAAGTATACGAAGAAGTATATATATTAAAAAAATTATACATAGCTACATAGCGTAGTTTTTAGATGAAAGGAGTATGAATTGACACATCTTGGAATAAGGTGGCTGTCGATAGAGTATTTGTGGTATGTCGAAAAATATTTTTCAAAAATTATTTTTCAGATATAAGTTATTTTTTGGTGTTTAATTTTATAAGTATTTTTAATAAAAATTTTGCATCAGAAGTGAAAAAATGACTTCCCTCACTTTTGAGCAGAAGCCATTACCTTCATAATATCTATCCCCTTACTTTAGGTCATTACTTTAATCAACATATAAATATTATTATCAATCTTTATTACTCAAAAATTTCAGACAAAGTCACCAAGTTATTTTAGAGACAATGGAATCTATCTTACTCTAACAATTTATTATCAATTCATGAATACCTACAAAACAGAAGCGGATTTAAAATTCTAATTTGATGAACTAAAAATTATAGGCTCATAATCTAATATTTGTTGTTTTTCATATATTTCGTGTAAGAAATACTAGGTTCAGTAAACCCGTAACTCTAAGGCTACATCCGCAAATAAAACTAAATCAAAATATTTTGGTATTTTTGCAGGATCTCACACAATAGGCCAAGCAAGATGTACTACTTTCCGAAATCGTCTCTACAATGAAACCAACATAAATTCATCATTTGGTACAACAATTAAAGCAAATTGTCCACAAAATGGAGGTGACAATAATCTTTCTCCACTTGACACAAGTCCAACATCATTTGACAATATTTATTACAAGAATTTGCAAAGCCAAAAGGGAATTCTTCATTCTGATCAACAACTATTTAATGGAGGCTCAACTGATTCTATAGTTAACACTTATAGTTCTAATTCAGCCACTTTTTTTACTGATTTTGCAATGGCTATGGTTAAAATGGGTAATCTTAGCCCACTTACTGGTACTAATGGCCAAATCCGCAAAAATTGCAGAAAAATTAATTAATATTTCACATAAATGAGATTCTAAAATTTGGTCTCTAGATTTCTAAGTGTTACTATGTTTCCCTTTTTGTTTTATGGAAAAATTTGATGTTCTATGTTTTTGGAGGTAAAGGTGGTAAAGTCCCTCTCCAATATGTAACTTTCCAAGTATTGAAATAAAATAAATAATTATTCTATCTTGTATGGATGTTGTTATGTATCGTTTCATAATGCATCATATAGTGTTATATTATATTGTACTATATTATTTTGATGTATATGATGTTTGGATAGATTGTATTTTTCTTTATTTTCTCATGATGTTATGCACTAACAATATGAACAAGAAACTTGCAATATTATAAAATAAAAAGTAAGATACGAGGTAAAAAGCTAGGGTAAAGGATAAAAAATGATTATTTCATAATATGGAAGGGCAAGATGAGAGGAAAAAAAAAGAGAACGACGTGATACACCAAATCAGTCGTTTCATAAAGACACTCGTTACGTAACAACAGATTTGATAATACGATACAATAAAATTTAAATAACAATCAAACCAAACATTGTATTTAAAGTAACAATACGATACGATAAAACATGTAACAACCATCCAAACAAGCTGTAAACTTCATATGGCAAGAAAATCAAATGGAGTTTCTGTATTGCACACTGAAAAATTACACCTCAAGAAATGGAAAGTATACAAATTTAGAATTACAAGATTGTGTATCTATATATGGTGCCTTACAAGAAAGGAAAAAGAAAGATTACAAGTTAACAGTATTTTTATCACTAAACAGTGAACATTTGTCATCTGTTTGGTGACTTTATAATTACAATTTTTGTATAAAGATATATACTTGGGTGAGGAAAAGAAAAAGAAAATTAAAATTAATGGTACTAACTGCATATATATAACTTATGAGTCAGCCCCAACTTCTGTAGTTGGACCAATCCCAACTTGTAACCAATGAGAAGGATTTTCAGAACTGGTATTCATATCCTTTAATTCACTTAGCTTAGCTAACTTCAATTTACTGTCTGCTTCATCTTCTTCTACATTTTGTGTCGAACTATTATTATTGTTGTTGTTGTTATCGTTATTGTTTTTTATTTCCTCAAGGTAGTAGTTGTCACTGGAATTATCTTTAGTATTCCATGGATGCAAATGTATTTCGGTAGAGACCTCGAAGCTCAATGGATTCATAGGGTCTCGTCTAACTCGTGACATGTCTTCGTGTGATGGAATGTTAAGATCTAATGCATCACCTGATTTCCTTAAGTTTGATCGTAGATTAATTTGCTCCATATGACTATGGAAATTGTATTTGGATGAATCGGGTGAATTAGAGGTGATCCAATGGCATCTTTTGTGTCCACCTAAAGCTTGCCCTGTGGAGAAAACTCTATGACATATTGAGCATTCATGGATTTTTGATTTCCTCATTGATTTTGAAGCTTGTAATGTGAATTCATCATGTGTGATATTCATATCTTGATCATCAATTAAGCTATCATCTAGTTGATCTTGTTTGGCTGCATAACACCCTTTAACTTTTTTGTGACTTGCCCTATGTCCACCTAGGGCTTGATGGGAATTGAAGACTTTCTTGCAAGCTTTGCATTCAAACAACCCTTTAGAAGAAGCCCCTTTAGCCTTGTTATCCAAGGGTATACGAGTAGTCACTAGTGGGGCGAGGTAGGTCATGGGGTTTCGTGCTCGCTCCTCCTCCTTGCTAGCCGAGGCACACGACTCCTCTGGCTCAGCCAACGATGTATCAACCCTCGCGTTGGCTAAATCTATAAGACATTTTGCAAGGAGAAGATCATCTTCCTCACTTGATGGATAAGTTGAAGTACTAAGGGTTCCCACTTTTGTTCTCAAGGACCTCTTCCTTTTAGACCATCCATACCCTTTTCTTTCACCATTAATAATGTACTCCTCGCCCTCTGAACAGGGCGAGGATACTAGTGATTCTTCTGAGCTACATTTTCCATGCTCAAGAAAAGATTTCCAGGACGAAAATTCTCTCCCACAATTCTCACATACCCTATTGCTCTTTTGTCGATTAGGGTTTGTTCGTAATTGATACATCCTCTTGTTACCTCCCTTAACACTCCCTCCAAACTTATCTTCCCAATCACTTGCTGGATCATCATCATCCAAATTTGCACCTTCATCCCCAATTCCATGAGCTCTCATATGCCCACCTAGAGCTCTCCCACACACAAAACCTTTCTTACAAACCCTACAATAATGCTTAAATACGGGTTGTTGTTGTTGTTGTTCTTGATCTATACAAGCCATTTCTTAAATTTTATATTATTTCATTGAATATACTACTTCAAAGTATGATTGAGAAGAAACATAAGAAAAAAGAAGCAAATGTACATGCATGGGAGAGTTTGTTCTTCTTGTACTAGAAGTTGTTGTGGACTTGTACGGTTAGAAAAAGTTAGTCCTAGTTTTTAGTTGGAGTAGTGGTTTAATTTGTGGAGGAGAGTTTAGAGGTAGAGAGAAAAATAGGAGTGTGAGTGGAAGTGAGGAGTGAGAGTTGACAAGTGGAAGGATAAGGTAGTGAAGAAGTAATTTTCTTTTTTACAAACTTTTTACTAACAACCAAATGGACGGCGCAAAGGATTAATGTTACACATAATGGCGTCATTAGAGTAAAAATTATACTTAGTTTTATTTATATTATTTTATTTTAATTATAGATTTTCGCTGAACAGCCGCAAATAGGGGGTATCAAATGGACAAATATGGTTATATTTGGGCATGTTAAAATTAGTTAGATCAATAAGTGAGTTGGCCTATAAACCGTACAATGTTTGCTTGCTCAAATTGAAACGGGTCAATTTGGCTAAACACATTGGGTATAACTCTAATTTGTTATACTCACTTTGCAAACTTTTTTTTTTTTTCAAGAGTACCACTTTAGGATCAACTTCAGACTTATCGGGTCTGAAGTAAAAAAAAAATAGTCTGAAGTACAATGCACTTAGGGCCAATTAAGTCTAAAATGCAAAAATTACACTTAAGATGCACTTAAAGCCAGATAGATCTAAAGTGCAACAAATATTTTCATGCACTTCAGGTCATAACTCTAATTTGTTTGTTTGGTCTTTTGTAATTTGTTTATATAATTACCAAAATGCGAGAAGGAAGTCAAAAAGATGCAAAGGAAAAGAGAGGGACATTTGCATTTATACCTAGTTTTGGAGTCACAATTATACTTATACTCACTTTGCAATTTTTTTTGCAAGAGTACCACTTTTGGATCAACTTCAGACTTATCGGGTCTGAAATAAAAAAAATAGTCTGAAGTACAATGCACTTAAGGCCAATTAAGTCTAAAGTGCAAAAATTGCACTTAAGGCCAAACAGGTCTGAAGTGCAGCAAATATTTTCATGCACTTAAAGTCAAGTAGGTCTGAAGTGAAAAAATTACACTTCAGATGCACTTAAAGCCAAATAGGTCTGAAGTGCGACCGATATTTTCTTGCACTTAAGGCCAAATAGGTATGAAGTAAAAAATTTACACTTCAGATGCACTTAGGGCTAAATAGGGTTGTGCAAATTGCCTAGAAACAGAAATTTGTTCTTTGAATTTCAACCATCCAATATACAATTTAACACCTAAATCTACTCCAAATGAGCTCAAATTTAAAATATAACCTCCAAATATCATCAAGAACAAATCCCAATCATCAGTTTGTCAAAACAACAATAAATCTAACAAACCCATTTTGAAATTACGAAAAGAAGAAGAAGAAGAAGAAGAAACCCTAAGTTGTAGTAAAAAATAAAGTGCCACATCAGCTCACCATTGTAAAATACCATAAACCACCTTAAACTAAATTTGAAATAAACCACCGTTCTTGATTTCCTGTTTTATGCCCCTAAAACGTTAAAAAAGAGGAACGGTCACGACAAAGCGATGACTATTATTCATTACTGTTCGCCATGACCGTTCCTCATTTTTTGGTATTTTAAGGCCATAAAATAGGAATTCGGGACAATTTCCAGATTTTTAAATTTTTGTGAGCTATAGTACACGCCATCTGCATGAATCTGGGCTACCGGATTTGAATCCCCAAAAATTTGCGGGCCATCTAAAGATGACCTAATGAACAATAGTCATGGATTTGGCGTGACCATTCCTTGTTTTTTTGGTATTTTATAGCCAAAAAACTAGAAGTTTTGTGTGCTATACACCACGCCATCTGCATGAATCTTGGCTACCAGATCCGAATCGCCTAAATGTTTTCGGGGCCATCAGATATTGCCTAAGAAAAAATAGTCATGGCTTCGGCATGACTGTTCCTCATTTTTTGGCATTTTAGGGCTATAAACTGAAATTCGGGCAGATTGCTAAATTTTCATGTGCTATAGACCACGTCATCTGTATGAATCCGGATACCAGATCCGAATCGCATAAAATTTTGCGGGGTCAACAAAATTGACCTAATCAACAATTATTATAGCTTCAGCATGACCGTTCCTCGTTTTTTGGCATTCTAGGGCCAACAAACTGCAATCTGCGTGAACCTAGGATACCGTATCGAATCGCATAAAATTTTGCGGGCCATAAAAAATGTCCTAAAATGAACAAGAGTCATGGATCCGGCATAACCGTTCCTCATTTTTTGGCATTTTAGGGCAAAGATACTGAACTTCGGGCCGATTTCAAATTTTTGCGTGGTATCCCCTCCATCTGCTTGAATCTAGGCTACCGGATCCGAATCGCTTAAAATTTTGCGGGACCTTCAAAAATGACCTAATGAACAAGAGTCATGGCTTCGGCATGACCGTTTAGGGTAAAGAACTTGAGTTCGGTAGATTTCAAAATTTTCGTCTGCTACCACGCCATATGCATGATTTCGGGATACCAGATTCGAATTGCCTACAATTTGACGGGGCCATAAATATGGCCTAATGAACAATAGCCATGGCTTCCGCATGACCGTTCCTATTTTTGCATTTTAGGGCCAAAAAATTGTAATTCGGGTCAATTTCTAAATTTTCGTCTGCTATAGTCCACGTCATCTGCATGAATCCGGATACCGGATCCGAATCGCCTAAAATTTTGCGGGGCCATAAAAAATGACCTAATGAACAATAGTCACGGCTTCGGCATGACCGTTCCTTATTTTTGGCATTTTAGGGTCAAATAACTAAAATTTTGACCGATTTCCAAATTTTCGTGTGTTGCCATCAGTATGAATCCGGGATATCGGATCCGAATCGTCTAAAGTTTTGCAGAGCTATAAAAATTGAACTAATGAATAGTAGTCATGGCTTCGGCATGACCATTCCTCATTTTTTTGATATTTTAGGGGCAAAAAACTAGAATTCGGGCCGATTTCTAAATTTTCGTGTGTTGCTATCTACATGAATTGGGGCTACCAGATCCGAATCGCCTAAAATTTGAGGCCATAAAAAATAACTTAATGAACTATAGTCATCGCTTTGGCATGGCCGTTCCTCGTATTTTATCATTTTAGGACCAAAAAATAAGAATTCGGGTTGATTTTTCAATTTTTCGTGTGCTGTAGTCCATGTTATCTGCATGAATTCGGACTACCGGATCTAAATCACCTGAAATTTTGCGGGACCATAAAAATGACCTAATGAACAATAGTCATGGCTTCGCCATGATCCTTCCTCATTTTTTGGTATTTTAGGATCAAAAACTGGATTTCGGACCGATTTTCAAGTTTTCCTGTGCTATAGTTCACTCCATCTGTGTGAATTTAGGCTACCAAATCTGAATCGATTAAAATTTTTTGGGACCATAAAAAATGACCTAATGGACAAGAGTCTTGGCTTCGGCATGACCGTTCCTCGTATTTTGGCATTTTAGAGCCAAAAAACTAGAATTCGGGTCGATTTTCAAATTTTTGTGAGCTATAGTACACACCATCTGCATGAATCTGGGCTACCGGATTCGAATACCCAAAAATTTTGCGGGCCATCTAAAGATGACCTAATGAACAATAGTCATGGATTCGGCGTGACCATTCCTTGTTTTTTTGGTATTTTAGAGCCAAAAAACTAGAAGTTTTTGTATGCTATAGACCACGCCATCTGCATGAATCTCGGCTACCAGATCCGAATCGCCTAAAAGTTTTCGGGGCCATCAAATATTGCCTAAGAAAAAATAGTCATGGCTTCGGCATGACCGTTCCTCATTTTTTGGCATTTTAGGGCTATAAACTGAAATTCGGGCCGATTGCTAAATTTTCATGTGCTATAGACCACGTCATCTACATGAATCCGGGCTACCAGATCCGAATCGCATAAAATTTTTCGGGGTCATCAAAATTGACCAAATCAACAATAATTATGGTTTCAGCATGACCGTTCCTTATTTTTTGGCATTCTAGGGCCAACAAACTGCAATCCAAGACAATTTTTTAATTTTCGTGTGCTATAGTCCATGACATCTTCATGTATTCAAACTATCGGATCCGAATCGTCTAAAATTTTGCGAGAACATAAAAAATGACCTATGAAATATAGTCATGGATTCAGTATGTCCATTCCCCTTTTTTGGTATTTTAGGGCAAAAAATTTAGAATTCAGGCCGATTTTCAAATTTTTGTGTGCTATGCCCACACCATCTGCATGAATTCGGGCTACCTAATTTGAATCGTCTAAAATTTTGTGGGTCCATAAAAATGACCTATTGAATAATAGTCATGTTTTTGTCATGACCGTTTCTCATTTTTTGGCATTTTAGGCTGAAAAAAGTAGAATTCGGGCCGATTTCTAAATTTTTGTATGCTTGTCCACACTATCTGCATGAATCCGGGCTACCAAATCTGAATTGCCTAAAATTTTGTGGGGCCATAAAAATGACCTAATAAACAACTTCGACATGACCGTTCCTCTTTTTTGGCATTTTAGGGCAAAAAACTAAAATTCGTGCCGATTTTCAAAATATCATGTGCTATGGTCTACGTCATCTGCATAAATCCGGGTTACTGGATCCGAATCGCCTAAAATTTTGTGTGGCCTTACAAATGACCTAATGAACAATAGTCATGATTTTGACATGACCTTTCCTAAATTGTTTGGCATTTTAGCGCCAAAAACTGAAATTCGGGTCGATTTTTAAATTTTCGTGTGCTATAAGTCCGCGTCATCTGCATGAATCTGGGCTACTGGATCCAAATCGCCTAAAATTGTGTGGGGCCATAAAAATGACCTAATGAACAATAGTCATGGTTTTGACATGATTGTTCCTCGTTTTTTGGCCCAGACATGATTGTTTCTCGTTTTCTAGCATTTTAGGGCAAAAAACTGGAATTCGGGCCGATTTTCAAATTTTCGTGTACATAGTCCATCA